AACCCTGGTGCTGCTGGAGGGGCCTCCATAGAGCCAGTATTTCAGCCAGCAGCCTCAGAGGAGGAATGGAAGTGAAAAGCCTTCCTTCAGCCTTGGAGGGAATGCCCAAGGGAGGAGATGTACTGTTAAGGAACTGTGCAATGCTTGTACTGGTGCCATCTATATTAGGGACGAAGAGAGGCAAAAGGAAAAGGAAGAAAACACTTCAGCTTATGGAGAAATTAAGCAGTGGCTCCTACCAACACAGTTTCTGCAGTGAGTGTTGGCACTATTGCTGCAGCAAAATGTGCTCACACACTGTTTACCCAAGAACAAACAATGCTGTAGAACTTCACTGCAAAACCAGTGTGCTCCAGCCCCAAAATGCATTATTTAATTCCCAAAGATAAATGTCCTAAAGAGGAAAATAAGAAATAAATAAAAAATAAATAAAAAATAGAGACAAATATCAGTCAGAAAGGGCTCTGTGCTTGCTCTTTGTCTCCAGCATTCCCTTCATGCACTCCTGACAAATACCTCTGAGGCAAACTGAAAACCTGCAACTACTTAAGTGTGTCGAACTTGCAGACTAGCACAGGATCCAACAACAACATTACTACAGGAAACTGCTGTACCAATTCTGAACTACTGAGTAGCAGGCATTGCTTGATATATCTGATTAACGCTCTCAGTTACATCATCATACCCATATTTTAAAACACTTCATACATGCTACCAAAAGGCATATATGAAGGTAAGTTGACATCTTAAACCGGAACCAAGCAAAATAGAAAAACAATGACACTTCAATTACTGGCAGAGGGATGAGGTGAGACATTTCTCTTCTACTGGTGAGGAGAAACACTTGCTCTCATGTCAGTTTGTCAGATTAATTTTGAGTGTAGCTAAATAAATACCACACATCGTCACTTAGAATTTCACACACCAGCACTAATAAAGCAGCTAGTGTCTCAGCACACACATGCGTTACTCCTGATCGGTCCCATGATGCTACATCATTGATATACACTGATCTTACCTCAGTGCTGTTGGAAACAAGACGCAAGTAAAAGGTATGGGAGATTAAGGATAATTAAAATAGTATTACATTTCCATAAAGTAAATAGAAAATGAGTATGGATTCTGAAAAGGCACATTACAAGTGCCTATAGGAAGGAGAAAGCCTGGACACAAGCCTTCACTAACATCATTTGCAACCTCCTTCAAGAATGAAGCCCATCATCAGACTGACAAGTCAAAGCGCTAAAACACTGATCTTGGTAAAAGAAACAGGAGTTTACCTATTGAATAGATTCATCTTAGGACCACACATTCTATGATCTGTTCAGACCAGGAAGAACTGCAGAAAGAAATATGGTTGACACACCAATCATTGGCTTTAGTCATCCAGAACATTATTGGGTTCGCTTGCTTTTTTTTTTTAGTTTTTGTTGGGTTTTTTTTGGTTGGTTGGAGTTTTTAGTTCTTGTTTTTTCAATAATCCTGTTTGTAAATCATCATCCTTTTCTTCAGAGATTATAAGCATTTTCCTTTTCCAACTACATCTCCGTGTAATGCTGTTATTCCTGAAATAACTACCACCATCTTTACAATACAGCACTCACTACTATGAAGGCACATGCAGTACTGAAAGTATGGGGTGAGAATACAGCGCCCACGTATTCGTGTCTGAATTTCACGTTATGTGAAGGCAACTTACATGTAAGGAATGCAATAGCAAGTTCATCCACTGCTCTGCCACTGCATAATAAACAAACTACTGGTACGTGGTTGGTAAAAGTTAACGCACCACAGAAAAGGAAAAGAAAACAAAATCTTTAAGAGAAAAAGAATGTGGAATAACAATTCTAACCGTTCAGTGGAGCACAAGTACTACTTTCACCATCCCTCCGTTCTCGTCTAAGCAATTCAACACAGAAGGGATTCCAGCAGAAGGACAAGGCACCACTTTGTTCTCCTCTCCAGGATGCACTCTTCAACAGAGATTAGGAAATCCCAGCATGATGTTGCAGCATTACGAACTGCAACACACAAAGATTGTTGGCAGTTGATCTATTTCATCATTTCCTTTCTGAAGAAGCATATGTCCCAAAATACTGCACAGCACCTAAGAGATATGTCATCACTTCCAGCACCTTGTCATCACTGGGAAACATACCTCAGCCCTCTCCAGTTCAGCACAGAAACGCTGTTGGATGAAGTTTCAGTGAGCTCCAAGCCCCAGGAGCTGTATGTTTGTCTGTGGGTTTGTTCTACCTCCCTCTAGCAAAATTCTGCCTCCTGCTTCTAAGAACACGATCATCATGATGAGAAAACTAGATAACTACCTCACACCTGTGGATAGAAGAGCCCAAGCTACAGAATATATCTTTAGCCCATGCTAACTAGGAAGCCCTACATATGCTATTTTTCACTATATCACAAGTAAGCAAACATCACTTTACACACTGATACAAAACAATATGCGTGTATACATTTAGCATCAACTGCACATTTTCCGCCACTCAGGAAAAAAAAAAATCATGGCTGTACTGTTTAGCAAGCTTCCAACGCACAAAGGAGAAAGGCTATCACAGGTGTCTGCTCCAGCAGGAGCCAGACTGAGCATCAATCCTCACTCTTAGGCTCCACCGACAAGCCCGCAAGGAGGCCACATTACGAACAGCACGGCTGAGGACCTGGAATGCCCACAGCCTCTCCTGCCCGGTGCCCTGCAGGCAGCACCCGGTGCCCGCAGCGCCCGGCAGCTCCCCGCTCCCTGCGGCGGGGCGGCGATGACATCATGCCGTGCCGGCTGCACACCGCAGCCCTGGTGCAGGGGAGCCCCGCGGGGACTCGCAGCCTCAGCCGGCAGCCGGGGCTGCTGCCGCTCTCCCAACAATGGACGCTTCGGAAGCAGATTGTCTCAAGAGGGCAAGGATTCAGGTCCTATTTTTCAGCACAGAAATAATAACAAAAAAAAAAAACAAAAAACCAGCCGCACAAAAAGCCCCACTCCACAATAAGCCTTTCATTCAAACAAGAAAACCTTCCAGGAAGTACAGTGTTTCAAAGCCTGACCCAAAACCCACTGAAACCAACAGAGGCCCTTTGCACGTGTATCAGTGGGCAAAGGAGGAGGCTATAACCTAAAAGATGATTTAGAAAGCATTATCAGTGCCACTGCTGTGCATTATTAATAATGCAACAAACTCAGCAAAACACACTGGAATTCTGGCTAGCTCTTCTGTTGGGACGTTATCAACTTCTTCTCCTCATTCCTCCCTCTTCTTTTTTATTCTTAACCTGCTCCTCAAACACGCACAGACCAGCCTCCCACAGCACAGCACACACCTCTTATCACCAGCAGCACCATCAGATGGGGCAAAAGCGGAGTGCAAGGTATCTCACACTACAGCACTATAAGCTCTAGGTGCAATCCTTAACAGGGAAAGCAAATACAGAACACCATGCTCCAGCCCTCGCAACTGCAGATTCAAACAGAATTACTAAAAAAAAGGCACTGATCTCTTTTTCAGATCCCTGTTTGATAGCCAGCTCAAAGGAACACCATGTTTTTGCATTTCATTATGTGAGTTATTCACGTGCCCACTGAGATCAGAGACTACCAGCAAGTGTGCCATGCACTATGTTACACAAATAGGCACGTAGTAAATGAGTTATGACATTCATATTACAAACTGTTTTTAATCTAGAAACTTTGCTCACTTATGATTTAATTCAGACAATGGAATGACCTACATCCTTCAAGGAAGTTATGTTGCATTTTGTTCTATTTCTTACATTGAGTTGCTGGTGTAATTTAAAAGGCCATTAAAGTGCAGACCATTACACTGCATAGGATCCTCAAACAGTAGCCTGCAGCTACTGTAACATACAGAGTGGTAGAGGTAAGGTCCCGCTCAGCATCATGAACTGAGGAGAAATCACCTTTCAAGTCACTAAAAGAAGAAAGTTATCATCACGGCCCAAAATGTGCAGAGTTCATTTTTTCATCAATTCAAATCAAATCATTTTCATCAATCGCAAGAGATGAGTTCCATAACATATATTTCACCCTACGAGAAACAGGCATTAATTCAGACAGCGCTTTTAAGACAGATGCAAAACAAACATGTAGTACAAAACCAAGTTAGTTAAACAAATAAACACGGTACAATCAAGGCAGTTAAACTACCAACCAACCAGACATATCATCAGTGGTACTGAGCTCGCACATACAACCAAGCACCAAGGCCAAGTTTTCGCCATGGCAATGGTTCACCTTTCTGAACACTCAGCAACCCAACGCACTTGCAGCCCGTGCGGCGAGGCCAAGGCTGACCCCAGGCACAGCCACAACAAAGGGCAAATGGGCAGCCCCAAAGCAGGGCTTTGGCACCGTGCTGCAGGGCGCTGCTGGCCCCAAACACACACATGTAGCACGTTCTCTAACAAAAGCCAATCGTTCTTAACACTACTTCTGTTAGGCGCTGCAGGAAGAGAATCTGTATCCCACGTAGAATCAAAAAATAGAACACAGCAAGTAAAACAACTGTTACTTTCTCCCTAAAATCCAATTCCTCGTTACCAGAGCGCTCCTAGAGCTCAGGTTCCTCACCAAAAGTTGGTGCGTGCCACCACACTCCGGGAAGAGCGCGGCAGATCGCTGCCGAGGCCGAGACGGTCGCAGATAACGAGTCCCCCAACCCCTCTCCTTGCACCCCTGCTTTCCCCACGCCGTTGGGAAGCGGCACTCGGTCGCGTTCCGCACGAAGTTCCGCACGCTCCCGCGGGCACTGCCGCGTTCCGAGCAGCCCCGCGGCTCCCAGGGCACCGCCGCCCGGACCGGGGGGCGCCCAAACCGGAGCCTCGCACCGGCCCCCGCCCGGTGTCGCTGCTCCCGCCGCGCCCGGGGCCGCGCGACGCGGCGCCGACGGCCGCGGGTGGAGAACGGCGGGGCGGTCGCCCGCCTGCTGCGTCCCGGTATCGGCCACCGCCCCCCGCCCGCGGTCACTCACCGGAGAGCTCGTCCGGCTCCAGACCGGTCTCGGTGTCCAGCCCACAGATCACGAAGTAGTCGGCGAAGCGGCCGGGTGCCGAGGAGCCGCCCCCGCTGCCGCCGCTCATGCTGGAGCCCGAGGGGTGCGCGGGGCTCAGGGGCTGCAGGGCCGGGCGGCGGCGGGCGGCGGGGCTGCGCCAGCTGCGCCAGCTGCGGCGGCCGCCTCCATGATGGAGCGGAGCGGGCAGCGCCGCGCGGCATTGTGGGTACGGCCCCCAGCTGTTACCGCGGGGGGGGGGAGGGCGGCGCGGGCCGAGGGACCGCAATGCTGCGCTTGCGTACTGAGCTCGGGGGTGACGTTATGCTGCTGGGCCCGGAGGGGCTGGGGGAGCGGGTTGGGGTGCGAGGCGCGCGGTGGCGCCGTGAGGAGCTGCGAGGGGTGGGAAATGTGACTCAGCCCCGCGGGACGGCGGCTGAGCGGCTGTCGCAAGTACTCTCCCCAGGCACCAGGGGACGTGTTGTTTTCTGCTGCCACAGACATAACTGCTAACAGTTGCGTTTGCACAGCTGAGTGCAAGAAATCTTGCCCCACAAACATTTCCTTAGGAACAGGGGACAAAGAACGAGAATGACTCAGGCCGAGGGACTCGGCACGCGTGCCGCGCTGTGCGATGAGAGCATGTCTTAACGCCGAGGGACCTGGGATCGCCTCACCGCGCTACAATTAGCGCCGAGCGGCTCCCCTTCCTCTCCTCACCTCAGCCGGCTCTCCGGCGGTGCCTTTCACATCACGCGTCTTCCCTGTGTCCTCTTCACTTTCCCCTTCAGCACGGCTTATAAGAGGAGAAAACATTCGCCAGTCTTTTAGGATTATCGTCTTTAAAATGACATCCATGATGCTGAATGAATCGAGTTAACAGCCTGACACGCACGTGAAACTGCACGGTGGAGGCCACGCTGCAAAGACACAGCGAGTTCGTAATGCTGTGTGGGCATCGGAGACAGCAGTAAGACGGCTCTGCCAGACTCCGCAGCGATCTGCAGCACAATTACCTGGGCTCTTAAGCCATCTTTCCCAGAGAACTGCAGAGAGCTTTTCCATCCTTCTGGGAAACGGGAAAAGCCGTGAGAAGAACTGGTATTATTAGGATTTGCTTGATTAAGACTGTATAGGCCGCAGAATGGGTTATCAATGAATGAAAGTATTGCTAAGGTTTGACTGACAGCTCTGACAGTTCAATTTTAAACCGCTAGTGAGCCTGGGGGAGAGATTTCAATAAAGACAGAAAGATAATTAGATGCAGTAATAGGAAGTCTCAACTCCAGAGCGAGCACATCCATTCAGACCACACTGAGCATGCCTTGTGGTGTGAGGAAGACAGCAGCGAGAACAGAACTAGCTAAATCTGCTTGCTCCTATTCTGCTACATTTGCTAGGCATTTTATGCAGGTTTTACTCCTTGGTCTGCTTTTGACCTGACAAAGGACAAAGGTTCAGAGTGTGATAACATTCATTTCTGTAGTTTAACTCCTAGAAATATAACACTGATGTGCAGGAATGTGTCCAAAGAAGGGCACCAAAGCTGTTATAAGTCTAGAGAAGAAGGCTTACAAGGAGCAGCTGAAGGAACTGAGGTTATTTAGCCTAGAGAAAAAGAGGCTCAGGGGAGTCCTTGTCGCTCTTTCCTACATCAAAGGAGACTGTAAGTAAGGTGGTGGGTCAGCCTCTTCTCCCAAACTATGGGACAAGAAAAAAAATGACCTTGAGTTCATGCCAGAAGAGGTTTGGATTGAACATCAGGAAAAAAAAAAGAAAAAAAAAAATCAGGAAAGGGTTGTGAAGCATTGGAACAGGCTGCCCAGGGAAGAAGTTGAGACACCGTCCCTGAAGGTATTTAGAATAGGTGTAGTTGTAGTACTCAGAAGCATGGTTTAGTAGTAGACAGTGCTGGAAAACCAAGGAAGTGCCACAAGTGTTTTGGGTTTGTTTTGTCAAATAAGAGTGAAATGGGGAAATAAAACATGTTCCTGCCCACATCACATGCTCCAGCCATGTATTTAGGAGATTAGCTAGTAAAGGTAGACAGGCCAGAAAGTAGGCAAATTGCTGGAAATGCAGTTGAATAGCAGTATTTAACAGAACCCACACCTTGCTATACAACGTGGTAAAGGACAGACAAATATTTTTCAAAAGGAGAGTCTCAAACTAAAAAATTCAGATTTGCTTTCAATAGATACAAGAAAAGAACAGGGAAGCAGGTACAAGAATTTGAATCAATAAAAGGTTAATTGATCAAAAGTCACTGTAATTTTTTGCTGTGAAAGGCTCATTTATAATTTGTCAGTTAAGGTCTCTGCTTTCTTAATCTTTCTTAATTCTAGGCATTTCCTAGATGCATTCAAACAGCTAGAGCTCTGTCTTCTCATTTTGCCAGTGACAACCTCTTTCCTATTGCATCTTCCTGATCATCTCATTTCTGAAGTTTCGTTTGCCTAGTGAACACCGTGTCTCTAACACTTAATTCAAAGGCTAGCAGCTTTCATTTCTCAGTATTCTTGACCCATGTTCCACAGGTAAAACCTAAAACACAACCATTTTGCCAGTGAACTTTGCAGACTGACTATGTCCTCAAGTGAGGCAACACTTTCAATGACACTGAGAATTTTTGAAAGTGTTCTGCCTGATGTTTACTAAATTAAGTGTCTTAAATCTGTGGAAATTACATTTACCAGAGAATCACAATAACATATTAGCAAGTAGGAAGTGATTTAAAAGATTCACTGCCTTTGGCAAGACTGGCTGTTGGCTCAGTTGCTGTTTTCAAACAAAGACAAAGGCTGGGATTTTCAAGCTCAAGCCTTAAGTTGTAGGACAAAAAACCAAGTTAGTTATTTTAAAGAGAAGGAATGTGAACATAACTTGGTTACTCCTCATACTAGTTAATTTGGACTTACTTTACCAACAATCATGATTACTGGAGGAGTTTGTTTAATAAGCAGATTAAAAAAAAAAAAAAAAAAAAAAAGAAGGGGCAAATTACTGTTTCACTCAACTCTTCTCAGAGAAATGTAAAGTCTAAAATAGAGCACCAGCTCTTTTTCTGTGCAACCATTTCCCAAGATGAGGTAAGCTCAAAAAGATAAGGGTGTTCTTCATCTTTTGCGTCAGCAGTACTTCACATGACAGAATAACATTAATTTCTCATAGCAAGTTATAAAGTTAGAATACCTGTTCAAACTCCTCTGTAAAACCAAATCATAACTTATGCATTAATAAGGGAAGTACATCAGATGAGATTTGCTAGGTATTTTAGATGTCTTTTCAGTCTAATCAACAGTTCTGTTTATAAAACTGACTTCACGTGGTGTCTTCTAGGAGATTTGTGCCTGTGCAAGTCATGTTTGTTAAACTCAGTAGGCAAGAAAAACAAACACTCCAATGTTATTACACAGGAAACAGCTCAGGGAGATGGAGGCCCACTCTCTTCATGGTTAGTGCTCTGGTCAATGCAGCAGTTGACTGCTCCCCAAGGGATGAATTACTGCTTTCTGTAATAACTGTAGCTTTCTGTACCTGCAGTACCTGCTGGGTATTTCTGTCCTTGCCCAGCTGCTACTTCAAGATCAATTTTCTATACAATTGAAAAAAAAAAAAACCAGAAAAAAACCCTCCATAAAACAGACATAACATTAAAGGAAGGTGAATGAAGCTATAACAACCTCAACTTGTTAATCTCCCATCAGGAATTCACAGCAGAAAAACTACATTACGTAAATGCTTCTATTTGAGGAGATGAAATGAGCTAAACTGCCTTATACTGCAAAGTATAAAAACCTGCAAAGATTATTGTTGTACATAAAGAAATAACGTCCAGACAGAAGGAAGTAAGGTTTATCCAGGTGTTCTGAAATAAAGATACAAACGGAATGAATCCCATCCACAGACATGCTCATCAGTTCAGTTTAATTTTTCAAGTCATTAAAAAAAATTCCACTTCAAAGGAACTCACCCCTTTTAAATAGATTCATTAAAAATTTAGTTTAGTGGAAAGTTCGGCATATTTCATCATACTCAAAAAATACAGTATTTCAAATTTAATATAATAGCTTTATTATCAAATGGCAAGAGGCATTTCGTAAGGATGTCATGCAGATATAATTTACATAAAATTCCAGAAGATGAACAGGTCAAAGTCAGGTCACCTCCAATTTTTCGTAGTTTAACTCAACTACACCTTCCTGATTTGCCAGTTTACTTCTGGTAGATGCTATGGCTATCTTGCAGACTACTGGCTGCATTCCACAAAGACTGGAGTGGTACCTTACTCCACAACACAGCACTTCTCTGCCTTTTCTCAACTACTTCAGTAGTCCTCATAGGATGGGGAACTGCCTGAGCATTGGAAGCTGAAGATAAACATGGAAGGGGTAGGTTTAAGAAAAAAAAAAAAAAAAAAAAAGCTAAGGTTTTGTAAAAGGAAATAACCTTCTTTTCATCCTTTTTAAGGTTTTAAGGCTTTTAGCCACCATGTTGGGAACTTTCCCTACAGCTGAAACAGATTTTTCATGATCCCATCTACACAGTGAAACAAACATAACTCAATAAAAGTGCCAAGTGATAGCATGATTCATTCAAAATGAAGTTCTTTCCTTCTTTAGTGTCAAGGTTCCACCAAAGCATTAATTTTATATAGTGTTGAAGGAATTCTACAACAGCATCTGTTAATGACAAAAATTGAGGCAATTTCAGAAAAGCCACTGGGCAACATGTAATTTATTCTGAGTTAAGCTGCATGAAAAATTAACTCTGCAGATGAATGGGCTGTAAATCTACAGCTATTTCACACTCAGTAGTCCAGTGGCACTTGGCTCACAACAGCTACTATTTATTACGGAACAAATCCTCTAGGTAGATGAGCTCTGAGATTAGAATCACAGCAATTAAAAAAAAAAAATCATTAAGTTTTAAATGACAACGAAGTATATTTTTAGAGTAAATTCTAAATAAGAAAACAACTCCTGAAGCTAAATGCTTACAATAAATTTGTAAACAGAAGTTACCTATATAAAACCCAGATTTAAATAAAAGACAGTAATAGTTCATCAGTATTTACTATATATTTACACATAATACTGCAATAAAATTGAGTCAATCAACATTATGTTACAAAAAGAACAAAATTCTTTAAAAAGGTACCAGTACCTTTCACATTATCCCATTTAGGGAACTATTCTCTTACAACTCAAATGATCTATTGCATGATGAGTTAACATGAGGACACAGACAAGTAAACCCTTGAACTAGAGATATGCTAACATGCCAACTCGTGTTTCAGCAAGGTACTTCAGGGGCAGAAACTTAAAGCCTATAAGCAGCACTGGTTGCAGTAGGATAAACTTAAACGCACCCAAGTTCCTTGCTGATCAGGGCCTCATTTTACAGGATTCCACTGACAGTACAACAGACTACAAGTTCTAACCATACAAGGCGAGGTACCACATACCTCATTTAGTGAATAGTTCTATGCATATTTTTAAAGATAAACTGTAGCTGGTTGTCCACTGCCACTTACCGACTCGCCAGAAAATGGAATCATCCTTCTGATCTCATGTATGTTCACCAAATTCTGTTACTTGATGCTCTGAAGAGTATTGGGAACCAGCTATTTTACAAGAACTGCACCAATTTACGTACCTGATGCTCCTAGCCAATTGTGCTACAATGAAAAACTGTATATTCTTTGTATGATGCTTGAGAAACGTTAGTAATACGCTAAACTTACACATCCTTAATTCACTTGAAGTTAAAGTTTTATATAAATATGATCATTTTCTTGAATTTGCAGGATAAATGTATGCAAGTGAAATTATTGGCAAGATGAACGTTAAAAAAGTTACATTTAGAACATCAGCTGGGCACAGTAAGAATTCTAGCTCCTCTTACATTCCCTCCCAAAGAAAAAAATCAGAATATGAGACAGAATGATCTGACACTTTGCCTTTGTTAATCCAGTTAGTAAAGCAGATGTAGGTTCAAGTATTTAAATCCATACAGCACTAATAGAAGTAAACAATCAGGATGAACGTATTATCGCAGTCAGTCACACAACTATTCAGAAAAAATAAGTCTGAGTGAGCACCGTTATTCTATTATGCTATTATTTTGGAATTCCAGAAAGAAAAAAATGTTGATGAGAGGTGTGCTCAGATCAGATCACATTCAAGGCTACAGAAATGTTGACAATGTTACAAAATCTGAGCAAATAATTAAGGGATTTTTTTTTTTCTTGCAAGTTTTAGAAAGCAATCTGTAGCTCATGTCTACATTACAACTTCTGCTCTGTGTATTATCAGAGCAAAACATCTGTTTTCAGTTCCCTCATCCTGAGGGCCACACACACCATCCTCACTCCCCAGAGCAGAACACTGATGGTTTGGTTTCAAACTGTCCGCAGTACATTTCTGAACACAGTTCTCCCAGGCCACGTGTTCATCAACGTGTCTTCAAATTCCTACCATCACAAGCTTCCCTTTAAAACGCTTACGAGCCAATAGAAAAGCAAATATACAAATATCAGAAGTGCCAATCCTGAGATGAAACATGGGAAATTCGGGTTCAGTTTGATCATTACTCAAACTTCTGTTTCAGTTTCTTCTGGAAGAGAGCTGGTAGGATGGAGAGGATGGCTAGAATCATGAGAACAAAAAGAGAGTTCCAGGAAACAGCTTCCCCTGCTGTTGTAAGTTGGTATAGTGTTGTTCCTGCCTTAATGGCTACAAAAGATGGCGGTGCCACACCTGGAAGGAAAAAGTAGAAGGCAGGATAAGTAAGAAAGAAAATGCAGCTTTGTGGAAAGAAAAAAAAAAACAAATCATAAATTAATCATCCAAACTTTAACATCAAAACCATCAAAAAACTTTGCTTACTTCTTGCTTTTTGTTTTGTTTGTTTATTTTTTTAAACAGCAGTACATACAAACATAAAACTCAAAGACAATCCCGTATCAAAACCTGTTTTTGCTGTTTTTCATACTACATAATGCCAATTAAAGCACCGAAGACAATATATATATTTATGTGCCTATGCTAGACTGTGCAGATTCCAAGGTGTCTCTACCGATCAGTTTTAGTTACAGCTATAGAAAAAGTTTGTTATCTAGAATAAGTTGTTTTCTAACCCAATTAAAAAGACAACACTACATGCTTAGCACTATTTGTTTGTTATGAATTCACTCTTAGGAAGAGATATCATGATAAATAAAACACATACAAAGGAGAGGAACAATCCCTCAGATCAAACCCCTCACATGAGCACGCTGAAGTAGAACAATACAGATTATTACTAGAGAAGTTTTTACACAATGCACATTCCCTTAAGTAATCAGCCTGGGTTTGTAATGCCTCATCTATTGCATTGGATTAAACTTGAAGACTAAAGTCTTCTGATGGTGTAAGCTCCACCCTTGATATAACACAATATCCTCGTGTAATCTTTTAGCTGTCCAGTAGGTGGTGATCTCCACTGAACAATGCAGAAAGAAAAGCAAATAAAGGTCCTTCTGGTAACCCAAACTGTAGCTGACTAGTCAGAATTCTTACCTAGAAAAGTGCCAATGAAAAATACTTTTAACGGCACATTTATTACAGGAGATGTTATATTGATAAACCAATTAGGAAGAAACGGTGTTATTCTCAAAAATATTATGTAGTTGATGAGGTGTTCTCTGTGACGCTCAACCTAAAAAGGAAAGAAAGAAAAAAATCAATTAAGTCTATGCATCAAAAATAAATCGATTTTACTATTAAGTACTTAAGATGCTTTGTGCAATTTTTGTAGAAATTCAGAAGTTGCAAACAGATCAGTTGAAAGATGACTCAAGAGTCAGCCATTGGTGAATCACTATTACAAAGTACCATAGTTTGTCTGGAAATACCAGTCCATGGTAAAGCGTGGCGATGGTGTGCCTGAATCAGCTCACAAGTAATTCACCACAGCAGTAGGTCTCATTCTGAGATTAGCTCAGTAATCTTCCCCTAATTGCAGTCCAATCAACACTACTATCTTGTCATCCTGCTCCTTAAGCCTCTGCAGAACTAGCAATGAAGTTTGATCCTCATCACATTCTGTCCTAAACTGTAATCAAACCTAAGAAACAGTTGCATTCCTAGCCTGAAAGCTTACTCTGGCCATGGGTACGAAGCTGATAGCCGTTGCCAGAAGTCTTTAAGACTGGCCTGTCTGCCCTTTCTTTGTAAAGCCTAGGATTAACACCACCCAGGAGCAACCACAATAGTCTACATTTTACTTACAGTCCATTACACCACCCTCAAGTCTATCCCAGCTCCTTGTACCAGGGCTACGCCAAAGCCTCTTCTGCTCCCAGACTGACTTTAGCATATCATCCAGGAAGTAACGGCACGCTGTCAGAAAGGGAATAGAATCCATTCCTTGTAGGTGTGTGAGCACAATACCTCTGATCTTCCACCCTATTCTACACGTTTTTTTATCAGAAGACTCAGCCTATCTAGGAACTTTACCTGTTCTGACCACTTCACTGCTTTTTCCGTTAAGTATTTGTATACAACAGGTCGTCCCACTAAGTATGAAAGCATGTAGCAGAACGAAGCTCCAAGTCCTGAACACTGAAAAAAGAAAACATAAAAACCAACTAATTGGCAGAAAAGCTCTGATTAATAGTAGCCCTGTGTCCCTGCAATTACACTGTCTGGATACAGGCTGCTTCTATGCGGTCCTCTACTAATGAGGAAGAGCTCTGTGCTCCTGTTTCCTAAGAAACTGTCTTGTTGACACAAGACAGTTCCTTTAATTCCAAGGCATTTTTATCAGTATTGACACAATATTGTAGCCAATGCTGATTACTTATCAGTTATTATTGTTTCTGTACTTTCAAGACTCTGAACAATGAAAGATCTGCAGGAAAAAAAAGAGCACAATAGCATTTACAAGAGATTCAAACTTGATAATTCATCACCTTAGTCCTCCCTATACCTACTAATTCATGCAGTTCTTAATTACTAAGGCTCACTATGACATCTTCTGAAGATTGTCAGCAGCATTTCCTAAGTTAAACTTCTGGGGTAACTAAGCCAATTTAAGGAAAAGTAAGTTTTGCAGTGCATGAATAAGAACGCAGTACTTAAGTTCTGGAATTACAGGCACATTCTGGTGGATGCTAAACATTTGAAACAAAGGCAATTCTCCTGCTAGTTAACACTCAGATGCCTCCATTATTAATAAAACTTGGACAAATAGTTGTTCGGATCATCACCCAGTGCTGCAGTGAGTTTTATGGGTAACATCCTTCTTAATGAAGCTTAACGAGAACTCATTTATTGTCTGGAGACTCACAGATTTATTCAGCTTGTGATTGTTTCAAACGAAAAAAAAAAAAAAAAAGGGATAAAAACACACACCCTTACAGACTGTTTTCCATACTTACCAGACAAACAAGAAATAAGGCCAGTGGAAAGGGATAAAGAAACCCCGACAGGATACTGAGAAATATAGACCCAGGGATAGCAAATGTTTGCAAGCTGGATGCATCTTAGTTAAGGAAGTCTGTTTACTGTTAATTTCATAACAACGTCAGCATATCAGCATATATACCACAATCCAGAAAAGCATAAGTACATACAAATATGTATGGCCTCAAAAGATCTTTGTATCAAAATACTTTTGCAGAGTAGCACAAACAACCCAACCAAAGGAATAGATACATCACTGACAGGTACAAAAATAAATCAATAAATGTATAAAAGATGTAGTGCACTTCTCTTCATCTTTGACACTGGAGCTTTACTGTAAGATAAGAGGAAACACAGTTGTAATTTTACATTGTTGACTAACGATAAGCAGATTCCAGCCACTCTGAAGAGGTCACAGAGACCTACATCTACTGCAAACTTCTTGGAACTGACCAAAATTCTAAAAGTCAAAGAGCATTCCTTTATATCAAGTCCATTACAGCAACACAGCCTTTTCTAAGTGTCAAAGGTTCTGAGATCATTGTAGCAAGCTCATCAACTAAACAATCTGTCACTAAGATAGCCACATCAGCTGCTACCATAGTTCAATAAAAGGCCAAATCTGTTCTACTTATCAACTAATATTTTGGCTTTCTTCAAATATAATCTATTATCTGAGAACTAATCTTAAAAGCAATGGGCTAGAAGATAATTACTACTGATACATCCAATGATGATTTTGCTCAGCTACAGAAACCCTACTGCAACAGATCCCCTATAAAGCTTTTTCAGCCTTCTCAAAGTTATTAACCTTAAGTTAAGTGTTCCAGTTAAGAGTGTGTTTAATAATTCACATATTCAGCATTTGGAGAAAAAATGTTAACACAACAGATAGCCTTTGTGTCTCACTAGGCAGGAAGTACTTCAGAAATCTAGCTCTTTCAAATGAAGAAATTATTTTTGTGTTTTTCGTTGGGGCTTCTTTTTTTTTTTTTTTTTTTTAATGCTCACTGCAGAGATAAAAGGCAACTTTAAAATGAGAATTCTTCCTTTGAGAAATGATTTAAGAACTTCTGCAACTCTTAGGCAACACTTTTTGATGTCTAAAGGAAGACAAATTCAGACATTTCTGTCCGGCAATTCAGTTTGATTTAAAGACAGCATATCACTGAATTAAGACCAAGACTCTCAAGTTAAAGACTCTCAAGTTAAAATACTGTCCACAATAGATAAAGTACAGATGAAGCTGAAAGCAAATCTTAATCAAATTATACACATATTCACATGTAGTAAACAGCACACGTTGTTCTTTCTACTTACTCCTTTCTTACAATCTAATAAGCATAGTGAAACATACATGTAAGGTTTTGGTTTGTTTTCAAAAGTTCAAAGGTTCTGGAACTTGTCCTATTAACATACCTTCAAGTATTACCCTCCTTCTCCCTAGATCAAGAAGTTTATAGGCAAATTTGTATTTTTCATTTCTCTTTCAGAGAGAAAAAAATATATTTTCATATCAGAGAAAGGATACAAAACATATGTGGCAAAATAAGCCACTAATACTTGAACATAAAATGTGTCTTTGTATTTGGACAGGACTTTTCCCAAGGCCTTTGCATCATCCATATCTCTTGGAATCTTTATACATTTTCCTTCTTCTCTGGAAGAAAAGAAAGCAGGAATGGTATGAGGTATATTTAAACAGTATAATGAAATTACTGTTGAATACATAGATAATTAAATATATAAGATCACTGAATTACAACCCACACACAAAACGCATCACTACTTTTGTGGTAAGACTCTTTCATGAACCTATCTACTTATGCTTTCTTGAATTAAGAGAAATCCTCCATTTCAAATACTTGTTGGCTGTATTTTCTACTCACTACAATACGTCGCTTTATTTCCAGCATTATTTTCTCTCCCAAGTACTGATTAAAAATAAATCATCACTCCAACCTGACCTTTGACAACTGAACAGCAGTCAGCGTTTCAGCCAAAACCAACTGCAACTGCCTTAATGCTAAGGCCACAACATTTGAAGTGCCGCAAGAGCGGCGGAGGGTCACCTCCCAAGCAAACAAAGCTTTAAGAGTGAAATCTTATGTCACACCTTAATCTGGTGCAACCCTGTGCAGCACAGTTGAGTGTCCTCTCTTCCTCTTTATCAGACTCAGTGACTGGACTGTTGAAACTGAACTTGTTGAGCAAGTTCATCACACAGAAAATTAACTACTAAAAGAAAGAAAGCTGTAAGCTGTAGGACAAGCAGGCTTCTATCTTGCCCAATGATTTACAGCTCTAGCCAAGCATGTTTTTTATCTCAGCTGAGGAAGGTTAAGAACAGAGTTGCCATTGCTAAAGGAACAAGTGGTAACTTTCTAAAGTGTGCAAACTCAAGTGTACAACAGAAACCCTAGGTCAAGCACAACTCCCCTGCGTTCAAAGAGATCCTGCCCACTACTGTGTATTCCAGTAACACATTTTGTATTCTGACATTCTAAATCATACATTCAAGCCCCCTTTAAAAACACTTAAAATGTCTGTAAGTAACTTATAACAGTTAAAATGCCATTGAACCACACATAGGCTCCCTTGCAATTTGATACTGACTGAAAAACAGGGAAGTTTGCTTTCCTGGCATACTTACTCACTGAGCTGTGGGAAATTTTTATATACCAGAAACATAAGGAAAGCAGCTATTGTGAAGACGGACACCAAAATCAGAAGGGACGTTCGAGCAGATCCGCCTTCTGCCTGAGCTTTTCCTGGAATTAGAAACAAAGTTAACAATTATTATTTAAATCCAGTAGTTACGCTTTGAGGAAGCGTCAAGGCGACCACCCGACCCGCCGCCGCTTCAAAACGCGCGGACACGATAGCGGAACACGAGGAAGCAGAGCCGGCCGCTGAGCCCGCAGCCGCGCCCGGCTCGGAGCTGAGCGCAGCCACCCGCGCGCCGCGAGGTCAGGCTGACCCGCCGAGGCCGAGGCGCCGCACCCGCCGGCCCGCGAGCGCCCCAGCATTCTCGCTGCCCGGCCGGCAGGCGCGCACCGCCACCCCGACCGCGCTCGGCTGCGCGCCCGTCCACGCTGACCTTCCAGGAGCCGCTGGTGCCGGGCGCTCTCCGCCGCCGCCGCCGCTCGCCTCTGCGCCATTGCTCCGCGCTACTCGCGCCCGGCGGACCGGGCACGGCGCAGGCCTCGCCACCAACCAGGGAGCGGGAGGAAGAAGGCGGGCTCGGGCCGCTCCTCCTCACCCCACCGGGTCGCGCTCCCGCCTCGCCGCCGCAAGGCGCATGCGCTGCCTGGGAAGCGCGGAGCGGCGTGGCGTGGCGCGCTTCTGCGCTGTGCGGTGTGGAGAGTGTGGGGGGGGGGGGCAGAGCGGGAAGCGGCGTGATGCCGCCTTGAGGGAGACGCGGGCGGACACACAAAGAGCTCGCCTTTGTTGCTACAATGTACAGAAAACACGAGTGTAGCCGTGCAGGCGTCTCCAGGAAATGGATGATTCACCCAAACCATCAGTTGTGATCCAACTCCTATTTAATTTTGGTGCACTGATTTGGACCGTGGGGCGTGAATCACAGTGTGGGGGTGCTTGTTCAGAAACCCCTCGGAGCCAAGGGAGCGGGCTTCAGTGGTTATCGGACTTCTAATTAATCTGGTTTGTATTCCATAGCCTCTGTGTTATCCAAAGGCAGGCAACGTAACAACACCAGTTAGGATAACATCTGGCTCTTGCTAAAGTCTCTTATGTTCCCACTGCTCTAGACACCACTATAAGATACAAATAATTACAGCAGTACAAATTTGCACCATAATTTCCCTTCTACTTAATACAACTGCATGGCCTGCAAATTGTTTCCAGGGCACAGACTCTGCTCGCAGTGTCAGTATTTATCTCATTAAAAATGGAGAAGATAACTGTAATCAACTCCGAGTTACAGAGCTCCAACTCTCTGAATTGCTGCCAGTGTGAAATCTAGGGATTAATTAACTTGATCACCTTGCAGTTGAAATATGATTGCATAAGTGATATTTGTTAGAGTAGATTATCCAAAGACTCTTAGGCTGTTTCATTCATTGTTGGTTCCCCAGGGGGAATACCACTGTTGTGAAGCTGTTGGCTCTTTGACTAAACTTTGAAACTGTCATGGTGTTTAATAACTTCTGACAATTTAAACAGACATCTCCAAAGTCATCCGTACCTTACGAACACCAGCGAACCTCTCTGTTCACTCAGAAGAAAATTGATGCGTCTGGTGAATGTTTCTTAGGATTTTGGGGATCTGCCTGCAAATAACTCAGTAAATTAGATATGTTTACCAGAAGTAAAGCAAAAACTGAAAAGTACCACCATTTTACTTAATGGTTCAGAGGAGAAGGAGTTTAGTTAACTTGAAGTCAGTGAGTATTCAAGAAAAGCTTCAACACATGGTTGAGATCAGCAGTGCTGGAAACAGCTTCACTCCACAGGGTACTGGGAACAATAGCTGTAGGCTGAAAATAGAATTACTCTCTTCAGGTATAAAATATCACCTAAACATGATATATAACTTCATAAACAGCATAAAATATCCTCTGTCTTCGGATCTTCTTTCTGAGCCCTTTCTGATTAGGAACACGTGCTGCACAATACTTTGCTCTGCAGAGAAAGATATCCAGTTGGATGTGCTCAGTGGCTTAGGCAGTGGGATCAAGCATTCTTAGAGGCTACAGACAGAACAGGGCAGTTATCCACAAGATTTATATGGATCCATTTTTGGAAAATATACCTTAACGTTGAAATATTTTTTTCAAACTGAAATATGTCTTTCAAACTGTATGGGGAAGGGAAGGGAAGGGAAGGGAAGGGAAGGGAAGGGAAGGGAAGGGAAGGGAAGGCTTTTTTTTTAACCTGCTGGAAAGAAACAAAATATACTGACAATTCTGGAGTGGTACCTAAGTGTTCAGCTATATAAACTCACTTCCTTCTATGAGTGGTTGGAACATTTTATTTTTGTTAGGTTGAAAGAGTTGTCTTCCCACAGTAGAAAAACTTGTATTTGCTGCTTTTTTTTATGTACGCCTAGGTAGACTGATGGAGCACGAGTCACGTGGCTGAGTCATCAACACTGCTGATACTTTGCAGACTGAGTCATGCCCGTTGTCAGCAAGAAGAAAGAGACTCTGAGTGTGACCCTACTCCTGAGAGCTTGTAGCTGAAAAGTAACAGTTCAAAGTTCAAAATAACGCAGCTGATTTTGCTTTGAACAGAACAGGAAGCTACTCTGCTGGCATCTCAGAGAGGTAGAAGCATGCAAAAGGAAGCTAAAACAACCTGAAAGGCAGAAAGGGACACCAGAGCTCACGTCACTATTTGAGACCATTCCTGAGACAAAGCCAGAATTTTATGAGCAGTTTATTCTCTCTGGAGGGCTTTAGATCTGATATGGCTCATTGACAGTGCTGAGCAGTCTCTCAGCATGGGTGATGGACAGTGGATTCTGAGTTAACTGGTTTCCCAAACACACAGCTGGCTTGGAAGCAAGGAGAGAAAGTGAAAATCCAACAAGCATCACAGTGAAAGTACATTGCTTGATCCTGTTCAGAAGGAGGATATCTGGAGGCCTTGCTCTTAGACCACAGATGTGGGAATAGCCACCTAACTTAGTCATTCTGACATGGCCACAGAAGGTCTGTAGCAGAGCTCTGCATACATGCAACACCCAGACATCTGCCAGAATATGATTGCATTGTCCCAAGTTTTGAACAAATTTATACCAGCAAATACAATTTACACCAATGAAGAATTTCATATTCTGCGGCAGCTGCATTTTTCTATTCTACACCCGCTTGCTTTAAGAAAAAACAGATGTACAAACCTGTAACTGGAGTGTAAGTGCTAACCAATGGAGTTACACACTGTAATTCCCCAAGCTGTGCAGAAACTCTTATTGTCTCAGAGGAAGATCTTTCCACAGCTTAATTTATATCACTTGGGAAGGAAATTGAGGCAACAAAAATCACAGATACAACTACGCTGAAATAGCAATTAAACTAATTGTATGACCATTGTAATTTTTATTTCTTTTTACAACTTTCCACTAATTTGTTTGAAGATACTATCTATATGGTCTATGAACATTGTTTCAAGAAGTTGGTTTTAATTAAAGCATATCTAAATTAATTTAATTGTATGGACGTAATGTTTATATATAAAGTTAGTCTTAAGAGGATTAGAAACGTTTGATAAGTGTCCCCTTCTCCTCAATTCTTACAAATATAGTTTTGCAGAAGTGCAATTAAAAATGCTTGGAGTACTGTGTAAGTATGCAATACCTGGCCAAAATTAAACCTCTAAAATGTATGCAATAGCAACTCAAAATACACTTTAAATTGAATAAACCTAAATTGAGGGTGTAACTTCGTGAATAAGCATCTGTATGGAAGACAAGTTAGAATGCAACATGCTGATAAATATGAATACAAAAAACATCACCAGGTGAGATAAACAGAAATAAACCTGTATGTGCAGCTGGGTTGTCCTGGTTGTGTGAGTGAAGAATTGGAAATATCTTGAGGCCAGAGCCACAAGTCAGGAAAGCTTTTATTTGAAGAAAGTCTGTGCTCGAGGGCAAAAGTTAAAAAATAAAAAGATCACAGAACGTCAGGGATTGGAAGGGACCTTGAAAGATCATCTAGTCCAATCCCCCTGCTGGAGCAGGAACACCTACACTGGATCACACAGGAACGTGCCCACGTGGGTTCCGAATGTCTCCAGAGAAGAACACCACAGTCTACCTGAGCAGCCTGTTCCAGTGTTCTGTCATCCTTACTGTGAGGAAGTTCTTACTTGTATTCATGTGGAGCTTCCTATATTCCAGCTTCCACCCATTGCCCCTTGTCTTATTACTGGATGTCAAATGAATAAAACAGTGAGAGGAAAACTTGGAAGCCTTAAAATGAGTTGAATCTGATCACAGAAATCACGGCCAGATTGGTTTCTCTCCTGGTTGTCTGTTTATAAAGACAACATGTTTGTTAAAATGTACATTTTAAGTCAGAAATTTTCAATTTATTTCTCCTTAATTAATTAGAAACAGTAAAATAGTTATGATGTTTATATCCCAAAAGGTAAAAATAAAGGCCAGATTCTCAGTTCTGATGAAGTTCTTGTTCCTCTTTGGTACATAGTAGATCATCTTAAATAGCCTGTAACATTTTTTCCTTCACATTCTCCAGTGGTGTATATGAAACAGGGAGAGAAGTTTTTCTGGTTAGTTAGCTCACATCCTATAGTTGGATGCAGGATGACAGAAATTAAAGGTTACTTTGTCTTGCTGCAAAGTGAAGAATGAAATGTACCCTATAATAAACTGATGTCATCCCAGCCAAGCCTCATAGAAGTCCCACCAGGCTCCTTAAATGTAGTACCAAACTTCAGAGGTCTTGAGATGCATTGCATTTCAGACTTGGAAAGCACTTTCTCTTTAAAAAGACAAAGCTCTTATTAAAAATAACCAGGAATAGAGGGAGATGTCACCACAGTACAGGGAATCTCAAGTATTCTCTTGACAGAAATAAATAACTCTATTTCGAGCCACACAACTCCATCTCACACTGTCAATTACCTCATCCCAACTCTCAGTCTCGTCTACAACGTTTGAGCTCTGGGAACAGACTCAGGCAGAGAATATATTGAAGAGCTCAGCCAAAGTCAGCTGTTGAAGACAGGTAGCAACAAAAGTAAATAAAACGAACGAACAAACAAAAAAACACAAAGCAAAACCATTCTTGTCACGTTATCCTTGCTCAGTGTCTCCTTCTTTAAAGCTCTGTGCAGGTACCTGTGGTACGCAGCACAACCTACCTAATGGAGCACAGTGCTACCCGGGGAGGCCAACATGACCAGCAGTTGAAATCATGGACAGATGAAGGGAGACAAAAGAAAAGGAGAATCCTTGCCTGATTCAGAAACAGCTGTGCAAGACTTCAGCAAAGCAGCACTTGAGGTATTTGTAATCTAGCACTTATTACTTGTGCCAACTATCACATTTATAAATCTCAGTGTTAAGAATGTATGCGCCCTTGTTCTGGGATACATGTATTGGTCATGATTCATACTTAACACTATGTTAAGAATAAATGTAATGATCAAATGTATATCGTCTGCAGCT